ACTTTAGCTAAACTAATCTTATAGGAGTCAGGAATCATGGGAAGAACTAAAAGCCATAAATGAAATCGAAAGAAACCCAAAGTATTTCTTTTCTTATGCCAAATCAAAGTCGAAAACAACATCCAGTATTGGGCCCCAATAAACAAGATGTGTCCTACACAGATGACAGCAAGGAAATGAGTGAGCTACTCAAGTCCCAATATGACTCAGTTTTTAGCAAGCCGCTAACCAGACTGAGAGTCGAAGATCAAAATTAATTTTTTATGAGAGAGCCACAGAATTTAGTTAACACAAGCCTATCTGATATTATCCTGACACCAAATGACTTCGAACAGGCGATAAATGACATGCCCATGCACTCTGTCCCAGGGCCAGACTCATGGAATTCCGTGTTCATCAAGAACTGCAAGAAGCCCCTGTCACAAGCTTTTACCATCCTATGGAGAGGAAGCATGGACACGGGGGTCGTCCCACAGTTACTAAAAACAACAGACATAGCCCCACTCCACAAAGGGGGTAGTAAAGCAATAGCATAGAACTAACATCCCATATCATAAAAATCTTTGAAAGGGTCCTAAGAAGCAAGATCGCCACCCATCTAGATTCCTATCAATTACACAACCCAGGGCAACATGGGTTTAGAGCAGGTCGCTCCTGTCTGTCTCAGCTACTGGATCACTACGACAAGGTCCTAGATGCACTAGAAGACAAAAAGAATGCAGGTGTAATATATACAGACTTTGCAAAAGCCTTCGACAGGTGTGACCATGGCGTAATAGCACACAAAATGCGTACTAAAGGAATAACAGGAAAAGTTGGTAGATGGATCTATAATTTCCTCACAAACAGAACACAAAGAGTAGTAGTCAGCAGAGTAAAGTCTGAGGTGGCTACGGTGAAAAGTTCTGTTCCAGAAGGCACAGTACTCGCTCCCATTCTGTTTCTCATCCTCATATCTGACATAGACAAGGATGACAGCCACAGCACCGTGTCTTCCTTTGCAGATGACACCCTAATCTGCATGACAGTGTCTTCCATTGCAGACACTGCAAGGCTCCAGGCGGACATCAACCAAATCTTTCAGTGGGCTGCAGAAAACAATATGAAGCTCAACGATGAGAAATTTCAATTACTCAGATATGGTAAACATGAGGAAATTAAAACTTCATCAGAGTACAAAACAAATTCCTTCCACAAAATAGAGCAAGAAACCAACGTCAAAGACCTTGGAGTGATCATGTCGGAGGATCTCACCTTCAAGGACCATAACATTGTATCAATCGCAGCTGCTAGAAAAATGACAGGATGGATAATGAGAACCTTCAAAACTAGGGATGCCAAGCCCATTATGACACTCTTCAGGTCGCTTGTTCTGTCTAGGCTGGAATATTGCTGCACACTAACAGCACCTTTCAAGGCAGCTGAAATTGCTGACCTAGAAAATGTACAGAGAACCTTCCCAGCGCGCATAACTGAGATAAAACACCTCATTTACTGGGAACGCTTGAAGTTCCTGAACCTGTACTGGCTGGCGGGAGAGATGCATGATTATATACACATGGAAAATCCTAGAGGGACTAGTACCGAACTTGCACACGAAAATCACTCACAACGAAAGCAAAAGACTCGGCAAACGATGCAACACCCCCCATGAAAAGCAGGGGTGTCACTAGCACGTTAAGAGACAATACAATAAGTGTCAGGGGCCTGAGATTGTTCAACTGCCTCCCAGCATATATAAGCGGGATTACCAATAGACCCCTGGCTGTCTTCAAGCTGGCACTGGACAAGCACCTAAAGTTGGTACCTGACCAGCCTGGCTGTGGCTCGTACGTTGGATTGCGTGCAGCCAGCAGTAACAGCCTGGTTGTTCAGGCTCTGATCTACCAGGAGGCCTGGTCACAGACCGGGCCGCGGGGGCCTTAACCCCCAGAACTCTCTCCAGGTAAACTCCAGGTAAACACCCATATACAACTTTTTCGCTTTGTATTGGACTTATGAAGCCACTGTGTGGCGAAACGTTTCCTCAATAAAGATTCCCATATGTTGCATAAGTGTCTCAATCTTCAACTTGTCGGTTTTCAAAACCATTCATCACAACTGTCAGACACTGCATCATCATCGGATCTTTACAAAGAATTCTTCAAACTTGTCCTGCCTTTGGACGAAGACCTACTTCGACTAGCGGATGGTTTAGTTTAATATCTTTATTATGCACCCCATATCCCATCCTGTGGGCGGTAGTGGATGGTACCACTATGACCCCACCTTCTGCTTCGCCTCACCTGACTACAGTATATAAGCCACGTCTACGGCCCTATGCTGTACTTTCTACAAGATTGATGGACTGAACACATCGATTCCGGGCTGAGGGTCTGATTACCTCAAACTCCTCTTCTCCTTATTAGGTAAGACACATGTGCAACAGTTAGGTATCTTTATTTCGAAACGTTTCGCCTACACAGTAGGCTTCTTCAGTCGAGTAAATAGAAGGGACGTGAAGACGATGTAATCACCTTTACACCTTTCTGCTTTGTATTGGACTGATGAAGCCACTGTGTGGCGAAACGTTTCCTCAATAAAGATTCCCATATGTTGCATAAGTGTCTCAGTCTTCAACATCCAGACATACCTAGACACACCCAAACACACCAAGACGCTTTCAGACACACCCAGACACTCCCAGACACAGGCAGACACTCCCAGACACACTCAAACACACTCAGACACACCCAGACACATCCAGACACATCCAGACACACCCAGACACACTCAGACACTCAGACACATCCAGACACACTCAGACACACCCAGACACACCCAGACACATCCAGACACACCCAGATACACCCAGACACTCCCAGACACACCCAGACACACCAGGCACTCCCAGACATATCCAGACACTCCCAGACACATCCCGACACACTCAGACACACCCAATACACCCCGACACATCCAGAAAACACCCAACATACCAGACACACCCAGACACACCCGGACCTACCCAGACACACCCAGACACTCCCAGACACATTCTGACCCCATCACATACACCAGACACATTCAGACACACTAGATACACCCAGACACATTCAGACACACTCAGATACACACAGACACATCCAGACAAACTCCCGACATTTCCCCGATACACCCAGACGCATCCAATCCCAAAACCTAGACACATCCAGACACATCCAGAGACATCCAGGACACCCATACACACCCAACACATTCAGACACACCCGGACACACCCAGACACATTCAGATGCACCCAGACATATCCAGATGCAGACACACCCAGACACAGACTCATCCAGACACACCCAACACACCCCAGACCCCTCCTGACACACCCAGAAAACTCCCAGACACATTTAGACGCACCTAGATGCACCCAAACACACTCAGACATACCCAGATACACCTAGACGCATCCAGATACATTTAGACACATCCAGACACACCCAAAGGCATTCAGACACACCCGGACTCACCCAGACATACCCAGACGAAGCCAGACACATCCAGATGCACCCAGACACACCCAGATACACCCACCCAAACTCAGACACATCCAGACACACTCAGACACATCCAAACACATCCAGACACACTCAGACACAGCCAGAAACCCCTCAGACACACTCAGACACATCCAAACACACTCAGACACAACCCTACACAACCAGACACATCCAGACACACCCAGACACATCCCGACCAAACCCGAACCCACACACCCAGAAAACCAAAACCCAGACACACCAAAACCCCCGACAAAACCCAGACACATCCAGACACATCCAGACACAACCAGACACACTCAGACACATGCAGGCACACCAGACACACTCAGACACATCCACACCTCCACCCACACTCAGACACATCCAGACATATCCAGGCACACCCAGACACATCAAACACATCAAACACATCCAGACACACCCAAACACACTCAGACACATCCAGACACACTCAGATAACTCACAAACATCACACACACCAGACACATCAGACACACTCAGACCACCCAAACACACTCAGACACATCCAGACACATCCAGACACACTAGACACATCCAGCAAACTCTAGACACATTCAGACACACCCAGACACACTCAGACACACTCCAGATACGCTTAGACACACCCAGACACACTCAGACACATCCACACTCAAACCACCCACACTTAGACACATCCAGGCATATCCAGACACACTCAAACACACTCAAACACATCCAGACACACCCAAACACACTCATACACATCCGACACACTCGACACGCCCAGACACACTCAAGACCCCAAACACACTCAGACACATCCAGACACATTCAGACACACCCAAACACATTCAGACACATCCAGACTCACTCAGACACATCCAGAACACACTCTTAACACATCCATACACATCCAGACACATCCAGACACACCCAGACACACTCAGAAACATCTAGACACATTCAGACACACCCAGACACACTCAGACACATCCAGACACACTTAGACACACCCAGACACACTCAGACACATCCACACCCTCCACCCACACTTAGACACATCCAGACATATCCAGACACACTCAAACACACTCAAACACATCCAGACACACCCAAACACACTCATACACATCCTGATACACTCGACACGCCCAGACACACTCAGACACACCCAAACACACTCAGACACACCAAAACACACTCAGACACATCCAGACACACTCAGACACATCCAGACACCCCCAGACATACGCAGACGCACCCAGACACTCCAATACACGCTCAGACATACCCAGATCTACCCAGACGCACTCAGACACGCCCAGACACCCCCAGACATACCTACTCAGACATCTGGCAAATTACTAGACCTTCAAGGAGGGTGCGGGAAGTCCTAGGGCAGAGAATCTGTGTTTAAGGTGGGCGTGGGGGTGTGGGCTGTGGAGGGTGGGCGTGGGGGTGTTGGCTGTGGAGGGTGGGCGTGGGGGTGGGTTGGGCGTTGTGGTGTTGGATGGCGGGCGGGGGTTGTGAGGTATATAAGAGCAGGTGTGCCCTGTCTGCTACAGACTACACAGGTACCAGCAGCAGCAACACCTACTGTACCTTACCTAACACACTCACGATGAAGAACCTAGCACTCAGTGAGTACCTAATTTCTGTATCATTTCTGTATCATTTCTGTATCATGAAGAGCGTTGGTGCTGGTGAAGGACGTAGGTGCCTTGATGCTAGTGAAGGACATAGGTACCTAGATACTAGTGAAAGACATAGGTACCTTGATGATAGTGAAGGACGTGGGTACCTAGATGCTAGTGAAGGACGTAGGTGCATTGATGTAGTGAAGAACGTAGGGTTCTTGCTGCTAGTGAAGGACGTAGGTACCCAGATGCTACTGAAGGACATAGGCACCTTGATGCTAGTACAGGACGTAGGCACCTTGATGCTAGTACAGGACGTAGGCACCTTGATGCTAGTACAGGACGTAGGCACCTTGATGCTAGTACAGGACGTAGGCACCTTGATGCTAGTACAGGACGTAGGCACCTTGATGCTAGTGAGAGACGTAGGTTATTGAAGAACGTAGGTACCTTGATGTTATTGAAAAACATAGGTGCCTTGATGTTACCGAAGAACGTAGGTGCCTTGGTGTTACTGAAAGATGTAGGTGTCTTGATGTTATTAATGAATTTAGGTGCCTTGATGTCACTGAAGAATGTAGGTACTTTGATGCCAGAAGTAGATGCCTTGATGTTATTGAAGAATATAGGTACCTTGATGTTACTGAAGGTCGTAGGTGCCTTGATGTTACTGAAATACGTATGTGCCTTGATGTTATTGAGGAAAGTAGGTGCCTTGATGCCAGTGAAGGACGTAGGTACTACTAGAACTACTACTTCTTGTACTGCTATTACTACTACATCTACTATTACCACTACTACTAGTACTATTATGCTACTGCTACCTCTATTGCTACTACATACTTCTAGCACTACTGTTGTTACTGCTACCACTACTATAACTTCTACTATAGTACTACTATTGCTACGACAGCCAGCTACTATTACCACTAATAACAACATCAGTACTACTACTTCCACTAGTAATACTAGCACTACTACTAGTAATAGTAGTAGTGCTAGTATTACACTGCTACTACTACTACTAATACCACTACTGCTACTATTACTACTACTACTACTATTACTAATACTGCTACTACTTCTACTACTACTACTACCAATACTACTACTACTACTACTACTACTACTACTACTACTGCTACTACTACTACTTACTATACTACTACTACTACTACTACTGCTAACACTACTCCTACTACTACTACTACTATAACTACTACTACTACTACTACTCTACTACTACTACCTACTACTACTACTACTATACTACTCTACTACTACTACTACTACTACTACTACTACTACTACTACTACTACTACTACTACTGCTACTACTACTACTACTACTACTACTATTACTACTACTACTACTGCTACTACTTCTCCTACTTCTACTACTAACTACTACTACTACTATTGCACTACTACTAACTACTACTATGCTACATATTACTACTATAATAACTATACTTACAATAATTATAATAATAATAATAATAATAATAATAATAATAATAATAATAATAATGATAATAATAACTCAACAGTGGTGGTGTTGGCGTGTACAGCAGCAGCTGCAGCAGCCGTGCCGAGACTCCGGCGAGACTCGACCTCTTTGGTCCTGGAGCTGCCGTCCAATGCCTCGCTGATCCTGGGCTCCGTACAGACTGGCTTCGAGTGCGCTGATCTACCTTACGGTTACTACGCTGATGAGGCCAACAACTGTGCTGTCTTCCACGTGTGTCTGCCACTCATCAACTTCGGTGAGGTCCAGATACGTCACTTCTCCTTCTTCTGTGGTGAAGGAACCATCTTCGACCAGCAGCGTCTGGTGTGTGCTTTGCCCCAGGAAGCTGTGCCCTGCTCACAGGCAGCCGCCTACAGGAAGTCCAATGAATATTTCGGTCCCCTTTTGACGTAACTTCAACGAATAAACGAGGAAATTTAAATTTTTTTTCATTGAGACGAGCGAAAAGGACCCCGTACCCCAGAATGTTTATCATTTAGGGACTAATTATCCACGGGTCCCGACTTAACCGTGAGACCCGACTATCCCCCAAAGGGGCCCTGACTTCACCCTGTGCCCCGACTACAAAAGGGGCCCGACAATCATTCGGGACCTGTCCATCTGCAAGGGACCCAACCGCCCCAGGAGGGGGACACCTGCTAAAAACCCTCATCCCCGTAGGGTCCTCCCCCCCTCGGGGGACTCTCCTACCCCCGGTACTTGAGGGGGGCAGTGGGTAGGGGGGCAAAAGGAAAAACCAGCCTGATCATCGACTCTGACTTGGCTGGATTTACACAAAACCCAAGGAAACTTTATGTGAGATACACGTCACCCTCGTCGCACATTGTATGATATGTCATCTTGTTTTAAAAAAAAGGTACCAAATAATGTGGCTTTTTAAAACCTTATTTTTTTAACTCGTGACAATCTTGATAATCAGTGATGCATCGCGACTCCAACCCAAGGGCCTGGGATCATGCTCGGCGAATTCGAGTCAAAAATGGTCTTACCCCTTTTAGGGTCGAAGGCCCTCCCAGACTTGTTTCAGGTCGGCAAATTTCAAAAAGAAAAAAAATATTTTTTCTTATGAAAAGATAGAGAATCTTTTCCCGATCATATTGACACCAAAAGTATGAAATTTAATGGAAAACTTACGGAATTATGCTCTCCCGAAGTTAGCGGTCTCAACGATGTTTACGCATAGGCGATTTTGCCCACTTTGAGTCCTATTTTCGGCCAATTCCAGTGTACTAGTCGACAAAAATCATAACTATTTCTCTAGAACTCCATTTTTTTTCTATTGAATGAGTACAGCAAACCACCCATTTACTGATTTCAACTATCCAATACAGTGGTCAGAATTTAGCAATTTTGCCAATTTCACACAAATTTCAAAAGATGCCAATTTCCAAATACGGTCCAGAATAAACAAAAAAGACTAAAATAACATTTCCTCTGTTCGTTAGTCACATCCCCAGGCCCCTCTTTTATTTCTTTGGCTTTCCACTATCAGTTTTTATTCTTACAAAAAATAGAAGATTTACTGTTATGCAGACTACTGCATTAGTGTAGAAATGGTATAAATAATATCAGCGCACTGGTGAAAGAATATTAGACTCACCAGTTGACGTGTATTGGACGCATGGCATGATTTGTTTACTTTAGAACTTTGGTAAAAATCGAACATTTCTGCTACTTTGAGCTCAATTTCAGGGTACTTTTCATTGTAAAACCAGTCAAAATCATCTCAATTTCTGTAATATGTCTTCCATTCTATAAAATGAGACCAAGAAAACTAGAATACAATAATAAATACCATACGAAAATACAGTGCAAAGTCGCTGTTTTATTCCAAAAGCACGGTCAAAGTTTTTTTTTTCTCATTATGCACTGTGTGTTGCAGGATTTTTTTTATACTGCACACACTGACCACATAGACCCATTCTTTCATATGTAGGCCTACCAGCTTTCTCCCACTAGATTTGAGGGCGCTAGAATTTAGGCTTACTAGTATGTCAATAATCCTGAGTCGTAAGCCGTACTAGTACGGCCGAAACCCTCAGAGGGCTAGTGACCGTTATATTACATAATTTATCTTCTTCATGCCCACTATAAAAAATTAATTACTGGGATGTTATTAGTATCTTCTTGTGTGAAAAGCGAGAGAAAATAATTGTTAAAAATCGAACACATTTCATTCTCCTTGTCAGTAAGATGCCCTGAGCTATTTTTAAGGGTACATATCTTTTCTCTAACTTGTATTATATAAACCTGGAAAAAAACTTTTGGGTTATTTTTCGAATCCCTAGCAACTTTAATTTCATAGTCCCATTTTACTTTTCTCATCCCCTTTTTAATCTCCCTCTTCATAAGATGACCTTCACCTCTTTCGATGAGCCTATAAATTCCCTTCTTCTGTCCTAAAAGATGTTTGAGCCTATTATTCATCCATTTCGGGTCATTTCTATTCGATCTTATTGCTTTATATGGAATAAATGTTCCTTGGGCAGCATGTATAGTGTTTAGAAAGCTGTCATATATGATAGGTATTCTTTAAGCCCATTGCAATCAGCTAAGGGAAAATCTGAGACCATTACTGAGTTATCCCTACTATCATACTATCATAAGTGAATTTGTGGTCGTTTGTGCGAAGTTCCTCTGTAATTTCTGAATTTTTAACTAGGGTTTCTTTGTTTGCTAGAACCAAGTCAAGCAGGTTATTTCCCCTTCTAGGTTCTGTAACAAACTGCTTTAAAAGTAATCCTGAACTACCTCTAATAAGTTGTTAGACTTTAAATTCCCAGTCAAGGAATTCCAATCAATCTGATTAAAGTTAAAGTTCCCGAGTATTACTACGTTATCTTGCCTTGTGGCCCTAACAATTTACTCCCAGAGTAGTCTCCCTTGGTCGCTTTCCAAGTTTGGGTGACGGTATATCACACCTAAAATAAATTTTTCATGCCCCTCTGAAAATTCTATCCAAACAGACATTGTATGTGTTATTCCAGACTTTATACCCGCTTTTATGCAACAGTTCAAGCGATCTCGGGCATACAGGTCCACCCCCCCTCACTTCTGTCTATCTTAGTGGGGATCACAGGGGGACTGTAGTTCAGTATAACCGTAATAGCGGAGACGATGGGGGGCTTTGAGGCAGGTACTGTTTAGCAAAACAATATCTGGCCTCTCTGCTTCAAGGAGCTCGGCCAGGAGGTGTCTAATTATAAAGTAAGAACGTACGTTGAACTAAATCACTTTAAACATGATTTAATGATTTTGTCATAGCAAAGTTAATGTTTAGTTAGTTGTTAATGCCCGTGATAGTGGTGCCATCTGTGGATGTGTGTTTGTAGGTGTTACGGACCCGTTTCCTGGAGGGGAGGAAGAGATGCATCTGTTTTTATGTTCTTTGGTCTGTCTGTCAGAAGTTGGGGCAGGTTTAGGTTTGAGTGGATTTTGTCTGGAGGAGGTGGAGTTGGACCTGAATGAAGTTTTGGTTGTTGTGGAGGAGTGGGCGAAGGTGGATGCAGAGGAAGTGGAAGTGGAAGTGCAAGGCTCCAGGCGGACATCAACCAAATCTTTCAGTGGGCTGCAGAAAACAATATGAAGTTCAACGATGAGAAATTTCAATTACTCAGATATGGTAAACACGAGGAAATTAAATCTTCATCAGAGTACAAAACAAATTCTGGCCACAAAATAGAGCGAAACACCAACGTCAAAGACCTGGGAGTGATTATGTCGGAGGATCTCACCTTCAAGGACCATAACATTGTATCAATCGCATCTGCTAGAAAAATGACAGGATGGATAATGAGAACCTTCAAAACTAGGGAGGCCAAGCCCATGATGACACTCTTCAGGTCACTTGTTCTATCTAGGCTGGAATATTGCTGCACACTAACAGCACCTTTCATGGCAGGTGAAATTGCTGACCTAGAAAATGTACAGAGAACCTTCATGGCGAGCATAACGGAGATAAAACACTTCAATTACTGGGAGCGCTTGAGGTTCCTAAAACTGTATTCCCTGGAACGCAGGCGGGAGAGATACATGATTATATACACCTGGAAAATCCTAGGGGAACTAGTACCGAACTTGCACACGAAAATCACTCACTACGAAAGCAAAAGACTTGGCAGACGATGCAACATCTTGTAGTTGCTGTCTGGTCTTCATCCTCTGCTATTTGGATCAAAGCAGAATGTATTTCAGCAAAGCTGTCTTTCAAAGCATGTGTTGCATCATACTGCGCTGACCACCTTGTTGTTGATAATGATTTGATGACATCTCCATGAATGGTTGACTTGAGTATACTCCACCGATGCGTTGAAGCAGAGAAAAAATTAAAGAGTGCTTGTAAAAGTCCAAAAAATGAAACTGCAGCGACACAACACTCCGCAGCACATGACCCAACAAGATTAGGAGAATGTGCTGAGCAGGGCATATATTCAGCAATTGGGTTGATTTGCTTGATACGGGCTTGCAATCCATTATATTTACCCGACATGTTACTTGCAATGTCGTAGCTCTGGCCACGGCAATCCATAATAGAGATCATGTTCAAACAGAGTATCCAGTACTACATTCATCATTGTTTCTCCATCATGGCCTGAAAGAGGAATGAATTTTATAAAGCGCTCTACAGGCTTACCACTGGAGTCGACAAAGCGAACAATGAATGTCAATTGATCTGTATGTGAAATATCTGGTGTTGAATCTACACTTATTGCAAAGTATTTTGCAGTTTTCACAGCTGCTATGATGTTATTGAGGACCTTCTTAGTCATCAGTTCAATAAATTCATTGCATATAGTAGATGACATGTAAGATACAGTGCCTCTTCCTGCATTCCCAAGGCGTGACACATGATTTGCTAAGAATGGATCGAATTGTGCTAACAGTTCTATGATCCCTAGGAAATTGCCATTGTTTTCCGAACCAAAAACCTCATTTTCTCCACGGAAAGCAAGTCCTCTTAGAGCTAAGAATTTTACAACAGCAACAACTCTTTCTAGAACTTTTTTCCAATAAGTGCGCTCTTTTTCAGTTTGATTTTCCAAATGAGAATCCAATAAGCCTTTTTTCTGTGCACGAAATACACTGGCTAAAATGCAGCTCCTGTGAGTGGTGCTGTTTTCATGTTCCTCGAAACGCTTGGAATTTTTCCAGTCATTGAACCCATGTGTGAAGGTATTTTCTTTGGTAGAAAATAGCTTGCATGCTGAACAGTACACTTTTCCTGAGCTTTCAGAGTATACCATCCATGATCTTTTCACAGTTTCTGAATTTGCAAGCTTCCTATAAAACATAGATGACTTTAAACAACGACGACTTCCATCATCACAAATCCTTGCTGATTTCCTAAAGTCAATGTTCAGAGTTTGACTGAAGTTTTCTGCAATGAAAGCATTACGTAGAGAATCTGGGATTACATTTAGCCATGAGGCAGGATCTTTTAAGCCAAATCCTGTGGATGAAATGTCCGTTGAGACATTGAGAGGAGACACAAAAGAAGTAGATGCTGGCTGAGAAGTAATGGAGGGAGGGCTTCCTGTTTGATCTGACGTATCTGCAGATTCAACTGTACTGGTAACATCAGAAACTGTTTTCGTGAGCATGTCTGTGATCTTTCTGCAGCTTCCTACATCTTTCTTTTTCTGTTCTTCTTCTTGAATTTTCTTCTTTCTTTTCTGTGACCCACTCGCATAAGAACATAAGAACATAAGAATGTAGGAACACTGCAGAAGGCCTACTGGCCCATACGAGGCAGGTCCTTATCAAAACGACATCTACCTAAAGCTATGATGAATGGTTATAGTGGCACCATCCACCAGTCGAAGTACAGTCATTGACTTACCTAAAGCTACTCAAGAAATAACTCCCGTACCCCTTGACACCAATCAAACCCAGCCCCTCCCACTCATATATTTGTCCAGTCTCTTCTTAAAGCTACCCAAGGTCCTAACCTCTATCAGCCCACTGGGAAGACTGTTCCACGCATCTACAACTCTGTTAGAAAACCAGTACTTACCTATGTCCTTTCTAAATCTAAATTTATCCAACTTAAATCCATTATTCCTGGTTCTTACCTGGTTCGACACCCTCAGTACTTTATTAATGTCTCCCTTGTTTATGCCCGTCATCCACTTATACACTTCAATGATATCTCCCCTCATTCTACGCCTCTCCAGAGAGTGGAGATTTAAGGCTTTAAGTCTATCTTCATACGGGAGGTTCCTTACACAGTAAATCATTTTAGTCATTCTTCTCTGTATGTTCTCTAATGAGTCTACGTCCATCCTGTAGTAAGGGGACCAAAACTGAGCAGCATAATCCAAATGAGGCCTCACTAGTGATGTATAGAGCTGCAAAATAACTTTTGGACTTCTGTTACTAATACTTCTTGAGATAAATCCAAGTAATCTGTTGGCCTTGTTGCGCACACTGAGGCACTGCTGTCTTGGCTTTATATTTCTGCTTACCATGACTCCCAAGTCTTTTTCACATTCTGTATGACCAAGCTCTACTTCACCTAGATTATAGCTTCGAGGGTTATTTTCATTACCAAGGGCAAGTACCTTACACTTATCCACATTAAACTTCATCTGCCATTTCTCAGACCAAGACATTAATTTGTTCAAATCGTCCTGGAGTTCATTGATATCCTCCTCAGAGTGAATTATACGGCCTATCTTTGTATCATCAGCAAACTTACTCATGTCACTAGTAATCCCTTCATCAAGATCATTAATGTAAATTATGAACAAGAGAGGGCCTAAAACTGATCCTTGTGGAACGCCACTAGTGACTAATCCCCATTCAGATTTCACTCCATTAATGGTAACTCTCCATTAATGGTCCAACATCACGTTCATGAGATGCCATAATGAGGATGTATCACTGTCTGTAATCATGCAAATACAAATTTTTCATTATCAATTATTATTAATTTTTTAATTATTATTAAAAAAAATTTTCTGTCAATTGGGGGGATATGGCCCTTGTAGCCCCCTTTCCTCTGGCTGCGCATCTAAAAATTCAAAACGTTACCAGAAAGGAGTCATATACAGAACTTTTACCATAGATTAGGTTAGTGATTTGGGCTACGAATATTTTACTAATTCATCCTCCTTGATCTCCAATTTACTTAAAACTAAACTAATCATTACGTTTTGCATGATATTTGGCCTGCCACCATAGATAAGGACATGAGAATTAAAGAATGCAGGGACAATTTTCAGTTTCACCCAACCAATGATTTTCTGATGTGGCTTATGTGTTTCTGGGGAAATATGTAGTAAATTATTTGATGTTCTACATCACTTCCGTCGCAACTTGAAAACTAAGCATTTGCGACGGAAGTGATGTAGAACATCAATCAATTGAGATCTGTTATTGAAATGATAAAGACTTAAAGACAGGACAGAGTGCTTTTAAAACCTACAAACGGAAGTCAGTTTGCGTTTTTAGGTTTTTCTTTATAGTATTTTTACCAAAAATGCGTCTTTACTGGTCCAAGCGTCTTTACTGGTCAAGTAACCCTATCAGGTACCTCCCTTAACATTTAGAGGCGAAAACAAACATTTATCCATACACATCAATGTCTATCAACAACACTTCAGTTAATTTGTCACAGTACAAGTCTAGATAACGTGTAATTACTACAGAAAATTGGAGAGGAATCTCCCATACTCACCCATTAGCGGGAAAACACAGCTGTTCTGATGTAAACAAAGGCGGGTTGAGTGTTGCCATCTATGGTTAGGTTTATTTATATTTTATTTTATTTCATTATTTATTTTTGTTTTGATTAATTTTTAAAAATCAATTTTACTCTCCAAACACTTGAACTTTTTAGGTAGGGACCCCTTTGCACTTGCACCATGTGCGCAGTCTTGGATGAGCCCCTGAACCCCTTGGACGGCAGGGCCCCCAAATGAGCGGGGCCCTAGGCAAATACCTCGTTTGCCTATGCGGCAATCCGGCCCTGGGGAGGTATGAAATGGGGGGAGGTGCAGGGAATGGGTTGGGGAGGGAGAGAGGTTGGCTTGCTCTGAGGGAGGAGAGAATGTCTTTTCTAGAAGGGCAGGAATTTGCAACTGCAGTGTGTGACCCGCCGCAGTTAGAACATTTAAGGGGGAGGTTGCAAGTGTTCCAGAAGTGGCCAGTTGCTGAACATCTGGAGCAGATTTGCGTGGATGTGCATGAGATTTTGTCGTGGCCGAATTTGTAGCATTTCAGACATCGTGTGATAGGGTGAAAGTTTGGAGTGAAGAGAGTGTTTGGAGGAATTACCTGGAGTTTACCTGGAGAGAGTTCTGGGGGTCAACGCCCCCGCAGCCCGGTCTGTGACCAGGCCTCCTGGTGGATCAGAGCCTGATCAACCAGGCTGTTACTGCTGGCTGCACGCAATCCAAAGTACGAGCCACAGCCCAGCTGGTCAGGTACCGACTTTAGGTGCTTGTCCAGTGCCTGCTTGAAGACAGCCAATGGTCTATTGGTAATCCCCCTTATGTATGCTGGGAGGTAGTTCAACAGTCTCGGGCCCTTGACACTTATTGTATTGTCTCTTAACGTGCTAGTGACACCCCTGCTTTTCATTGGGGGGATGTTGCATCGTTTGCCAAGTCTTTTGCTTTCGTTGTGAGTGATTTTCGTGAGCAAGTTTGGTACTAGTCTCTCTAGGATTTTCCATGTGTATATAATCATGTATCTCTCCCGCCTGCATTCCAGGGAGTACAGGTTCAGGAAATTCAAGCTCTCCCAGTAATTGAGGCGTTTTATCTCTGTTATGCGTGCCGTGAAGGTTCTCTGTACATTTTCTAGGTCAGCAATTTCATCTGCCTTGAAAGGTGCTCTTAGTGTGCAGCAATATTCCAGCCTAAATAGAACAAGCGACCAGAAGAGTGTCATCATGGGCTTGGCATCCCTAGTTTTGAAGGTTCTTACTATCCATCCTGTCATTTTTCTAGCAGATGCGATTGATGCAATGCTATGGTCCTTGAAGGTGAGATCCTCCGACATGATCACTCCCAGGTCTTTGACGTTGGTTTTTCGCTCTATTTTGTGGAAGGAATTTGTTTTGTACTCTGATGAAGTTTTAATTTCCTCATGTTTACCATATCTGAGTAATTGAAATTTCTCATCGTTGAACTTCATATTGTTTTCTGCAGCCCACTGAAAGATTTGGTTGATGTTAACCTGAAGCCTTGCAATGTCTGCAATGGAAGACACTGTCATGCAGATTAGGGTGTCATCTGCAAAGGAAGACACGGTACTGTGGCTGACATCCTTGTCTATGTCAGATATGAGGATGAGAAACAAGATGGGAGTGAGTACTGTGCCTTGTGGAACAGAGCTTTTCGCCGTAGCCACCTCGGACTTTACTCTGTTGACGACTACTCTCTGTGTTCTGTTTGTGAGGAAATTATAGATCCATCTACCAACTTTTCCTGTTATTCCTTTAGCACGCATTTTGTGCGCTGTTACGCCATGGTCACACTTGTCGAAGACTTTTGCAAAGTCTGTGTATATTACATCTGCATTCTTCTCGTCTTCTAGTGCATCTAGGACCTTGTCGTAGTGATCCAGTAGCTGAGACAGACAGGAGCGACTTGCTCTAAACCAATGTTGCCCTGGATTGTGTAACTGATGGGTATCTAGATAGGTGGCGATCTTGCTTCTTAGGACCCTTTCAAAGATTTTTATGATATGGGATGTTAGAGCTATCGGTCTGTAGTTCTTTGCTATTGCTTTACTGCCCCCTTTGTGGAGTGGGGCTATGTCTGTTGTTTTTAGTAACTGTGGGACGAGCCCCGAGTCCATGCTCTCTCTCCATAGGATGGTAAAAGCTCGTGATAGAGGCTTCGTGCAGTTCTTGATGAACACGGAGTTCCATGAGTCTGGCCCTGGGGCAGAGTGCATGGGCATGTCATTTATCGCCTGTTCGAAGTCATTTGGCGTCAGGATAACATCGGATAGGCTTGTGTTAACCAAATTCTGTGGCTCTCTCTTAAAAAAATAATTTTGATCTTCGACTCTCAGTCTGGTTAGCGGCTTGCTAAAAACTGAGTCATATTGTGACTTGAGTAGCTCACTCATTTCCTTGCTGTCATCTGTGTAGGACCCATCTTGTTTAAGTAGGGACCCAATACTGAATGTTGTTCTCGACTTTGATTTGGCATAAGAAAAGAAATACTTTGGGTTTCTTTCGATTTCATTTATAGCTTTTAGTTCTTCCCATGATTCCTGACTCCTATAAGATTCCTTTAGCTTATGTTCGATGTTTGCTATTTCTCTGACCAGTGACTCCCTACGCATTTCAGATGTATTGGCCTCTTTTAGCCACTCTGTTATTCTTTTCCGTCACCTGTAAAGGGAGCGCCTGTCTCTTTCTATTTTACATCTACTCCTTCTTTTTCTTAAAGGAATAAGCCTTGAGCATACATCGAGTCCCACCCAGTTAATCTTTTCTAGCTATAAGTTGGAGTCTGTGTTGCTTAGTCTATCTTCCCAGCTTATATCGTTTAGGACTTGGTTTACTTGGTCCCACTTTATGTTCTTGTTATTGAAGTTGAATTTGGTGAAGGTTCCCTCGTGAATAATCTCATTTTGTCGGTGTGGGGCTCTGCGCATACATGTCTGAACCTCGATTATGTTGTAATCTGAGTATATTGTTTTTGATATGGTGACATTTCGTATCAGATCATCATTGTTAGTGAAGATGAGGTCTAGTGTATTCTCAAGTCTAGTAGGCTCTATTATTTGCTGGTTTAAGTTGAATTTTGTGCAGAGATTTAAAAGCTCGTGTGTGTGAGTTTTCGTCAGAGCTGCCTCCTGGTGTTATTACTGCAACAACATTATTTGCTATATCCCTCCGTTTTAGGTGCTTCAAGTTGAAATCCCCCAGGAGCAAGATGTTGGGGGCAGGAGCTGGCAGATTTCCCAGACAGTGGTCAATTTTTAACAGCTGTTCCTGGAACTGCTGGGACGTTGCATCCAGAGGCTTGTAGACTACCACAATTACTAGGTTTTGGTTCTCGATCTTTACTGCTAAAACTTCCACTACATCATTTGAGGCATTAAGCAGTTCTGTGCAAACAAGTGACTCTGCAATATACAGGCCAACCTCCTCCCCCCCCCTTTTGCCTGTTCACCCTATCGCATCTGTATAGGTTGTAACCTGGGATCCATATTTCGTTTTACAAGTGATCCTTTATGTGGGTCTCTGTGAAAGCCATGAACATTGCACATACCTCTGCAAGCAGTCCACGGATGAAAGATATTTTGTTGTTCTTTGCTGGCTTTAGACCCTGTATATTTGCAAAGAAGAATGTCATCAGACTGGTGGTATTGGTGGTACTGGGGGGGACTTTTTTTCGGTACTAGTATCTGTATCTGTTGGTTTGGAGTGGAGGCCATCGACTGTGGCTCCACTCCAGAAATAACTGGATCTGGCATGCGATTTCTACCATTTCCTGCCAGTTTTTTTTCCTTCCTGGCACTAAAAAACCTCTCACTCTTCAGTGGCTGTAGCTACCCAGGTTTTCCAATGGCCTGGATGTTGTGCATCTTTTTGTCCCCTTTAGATGGTGTGCCTGGCAATTTAAGTTATAGCAAAGTCTTTCCTGTACTGAAGAGGAACACATTTCAGGGGGAAAAAGCTTACCTGGAGTTTACCTGGAGAGAGTTTCGGGGGTCAACGCCCCCGCGGCCCGGTCTGTGAACAGGCCTCCTGGTGGATCAGCGCCTGATCAACCAGGCTGTTGCTGCTGGCTGCACGCAAACCAACGTACGA